CCGTTTCAGGTTGAAAACTTCAGGGATCAGTGGGTGATGATTGATTGGGTCTTATCTGTCACGACTCGTCCACCAGCGGGGAAGGCAAAACATCTCTAGCTCCACCTCATCATTGCTCCGAGAAAATAATTCCCTCATTTTACTTTTCACCACTGTTGTTTCTTGTTCATAGCGTTCATAGGTGTCCTCTTGTTTCCTGTAACCTAGCTACTGGATTAGAAACAAATCATATTTTTGTCCCGCTTCTACAATAAATGTTGTCTGCCATGTTGAGATTGAAAAACAAGAACATGCTGTTCCCTTCTCCTCTCTCACCTGTTGTCCTATAGCCTCACTCACTCACTGCAAAGGCAGGAGAAGCAGGTGCTGGATCAAGCTGTGTGTGCGCACGCGTCTGTGTGTGTGTGCGCGCGCTCGTGTGTGTGTGTGTGTTACCAATAAAGCAGTCTATATCTGCTGACAGTCAAACGGTCGTCCTTCAGCTGTGCTTGGATACTAATGGTGCTACCTGCCACATTATGTGACCATGCACACCGACCCCCTGTGTGTGTGTGTGTGTGTGAGAATGTGTATGCGTGTGTGGGGGGGGGTGTAAAATTGTGGACATGTTGTCCACATTGCACACATGCTCACTCACAGGTTTCACACACCCACACCCACACACACACACACAGAAAGAGAACAAAGGGAGTGGGTCACAGCAGGGAGCATTGTGATAGCAGATGAGCAGGCCACTTTTCATCCGTGTGTAACTCAACACCCCTCTCCTCTTCCTCTTTTCCCCCTCCTCTTCGCGCTCTTGTTCGCTCAGGATGTCCGCTCATAAAGACCACATCAATTAGTGATCAGCACGCTCACTTGTTACTCGCCGATCAGCTGCGGGTGTATCGACGTCAGTGTCTATGTGGGGTAAAAACAAACAGTTCGTGCTGTTATGGAACGTGATCTTGGAGCTTCCCCCACTTCTCTGCTCATGATGACGCTTCTAACATGCAACAGATGCAAAAAAAACTAAACAAATACTTTTCAGTAAAAAAGCGCTGACACATATATAGAAGACACCAACGAAGATGTCAACAGAGTTTGGAGCTGACAATGGTCTGTGTGGAAAATCACGTGATCTATCCAGCAGAATTAATATGTCACTTCCTGCCTCTGAATAATGCGGAGGGTTTGTTGCTGTTGTGTACGCGTCTGTGCAGAGAACCTCCTGCTGTGTAAACTCTGCACGAGCCAATTCTCTGGATTTTACCCACAGGTCATGTCTGAAAACGGATATACGCAGGGATTGTGCAGCACACAGCTAAACTGACACCTTTAATGGTGTTATGAGATTATATAAAATGGTGGCGGGACCATAGTCTGTACATGAAGATGGACGACATGACTGCTCCCCAAACGTGACGACAAATTATGTCACACCTGGTGGGCTGGCTGAGGTACAGGTCATGACTCTGCCTCCTCCATGTTAGTGGATGGGACATAAGGAGGAGGAGGCCAAAACAGATTAAAAAGTGATTGAATATTGACGTTAACATTAATCAGACGTCCAGGAACACAACTGCAAATGAATCGTACTGTTGCTCCGTGTCCAGGTCTTATCAGGTCACTGAAAAATGTTGTGCTCACCTGAAATCCTCTTATGAACAGTTTTGACACAGGCCTTGTCCTGGTTTCTCCGGCTTTAACAAGGGCTCAACACATCGAGATAAAAACAAGGCACTCACAAAAGAAGGATTAAAACACAGAACAGTGTCGCAGAGGGCGACTCTTTCACCTCCTGAATAAAATATTGTGACATATTGTTCTTTCTGCTGTTTATACCCAATTACAGGGAGGATTATATTTGGATAACTGCAGTTTTGCAGTCGGCTGTGTTGTCTGTGGGAATGACAGAATTAATTTTAAATGAGCACACTTAACACTTGGCTGTCCCTGTATTGTGGTGACTCACCCTCTTCCCTCTCCTCTGGTTTTGTGGAGGATTTTGTATTCCAATTGTTAAACCAGTCTTCTCCTCTGAATGCATAAAAGGAGACATTTACACATTCCTGACTTGACCTCTTTTCCCAAGAATGCACCTTGTATGGTGAACTACAAACCGGACTAAAAATGGTATCACGGAGCCCGAAGGTGAAGTCAGCTCTGAATTGTAGCCAGATACTCAGAGGCTTTTAGCGATGAAAGGCCAGATGTATTTCCATGCGGAGAAAAACTGGAAATAAAGCAGGGAACGAGGTAGTGACATGAGTAAAGCTGTTTATCTGATTCTGATTCTGATATCTGCGTATTCTTACATTGCAATGTTTTGCCACAGTGTACAGCACAAGGCATCAGACCTGCGGTTCACAGCTTGCTGAATCAGTAACAACTCGGCATGTGTCAGACAGGGTGATGATGTGCATCTTGTCTTTTTGCCACAAATTCTCAACAGTAGAGAAAAACACAGTATTACCTCAGTTATGTTTTGGTTTTTGCTTTGTTGCTGATTTCATTACATCACATGAAAACTACCGTACTCGACAGATTAAAAAGAAACTCGGTGGGCTGATGTAATATCGGTGCATAAAGAACCCGATAAACATTTTACAAATTATTTTACAAATAATGCTCAAGGCTTTTTAAAGGTATTTAATATAGAAATCTGTTTGTATATTATTTCCTAAACAGTAGAAAATGTGATTTGTTTTAATTAAAGTGATTTAGATCATTACACAGCTGTATTCCAACACTAGACTTATTTTTAAGGAAATAAAAACTTTCCAGTCCTGATGTAAAATATAGCAGTGTAGAGTTAATGGTTTATTAATCAAGTGTATATCTGATTAATTTTCCATTAAGACATTTCAAGTATTTGATTGTTCATCAGGATATTCAGCTTGTTTTATGAACTCAATCACAACAAAAAAACAGAAACTCAGATTTGTCACTGTTTTCTGACGTTTTGTAGCCTAAACAGTTAATCCATTGAAAAAGAATTGAAACATTACTTAATAATTGAAATAGTCGTGGTTAGACAGTAAAGCGTGTTTTTGATTAGAATATAACTTTCAGTTTGGTTCATAGACATTGTTATGTCTGTGAAATTTCAGCATCTTACATGTGCAATCCCCTTCACACTGTATATAATATATGTGTGTGTGTGTATGTATATATAATATAATCTGTTTCCACTGTGTATAGTTTTGCTATGTTTATAATAGTGTGATTATTTATTGGTGTTTTATTTTTATCCCCTTTGCTTCCTTAACACTTATTTGCCTGTAGATCAACTAATAACGTATCTTAAAAGCACGCCCACATTATTTCCATAATGTACCACACAAACCAAGCAATGAATTTAACAACTCTAAAAAGAGTTCTTGAATAACAAAAATCTAGTGCTGAAACCAGATGTATACATGAGAGAGTATTTTAAGGATTTATCAAAAGGACACAGGACTGACAGGACACTCCAACAATGTGCTGAGTTTACAGTTACCTGCTTTCTTCCATCACGTTGCTGTCACTAGTCTCACAGCCGACGTGCTGCCTGTACCTTCAGGTAACAGGCACACTTCCTCTCCTGGTGAGAGGTGCTGTGTCAGCTAAACAAGGGACGTGTTGTGGGAGGATTTCACTTTTCTGTCTCCTGCCGCCTGCTCTAGAAAAGAAAGTATATTCAGATATAGAAGGTGTCAGGCAGAAGTACAATGTGGGACTGATTCAATATTGATGACACTGACTGCATATACGTCGCTGAGGATATATTAATAACATCAAAATATCTAGAATGATAATAGGGTAAGGGATACTGTGAAACTGTGATAATGTGATAGTCTGATCTGAACCTGGATCAAAAACCGAATAAATGATTTGACTGCACACTTAGGAAGCACCTGTGAAAGTTGCAGCAGTCAAATCAGGTCTCGTCCTCCCTCTCTCCTGCCACATTCAACCAATCATCCATCTCGATTCTTGAAAAGCAGCTTCATAGTCATGTTTCTGGGAGATGGTCGGCAAGGAGACAAAGAATATAGCACACCAGATTATTAAGAAAACATCTCTCCTGGCGGTCTTGTTTCCTTTTCCGTCCACCCTCCTACCGAGCCGCTTGATTGAGTTCACAGCTGAGGAGGCCAATTTGTTGTCCACAGAGAGGGCCGACTAAAACACGTAGGAAATGTGAGAATATGTCATACGGGTGCAGTTAAAAACAAAGTCTGATGCGTGAGGAGCAGAGAGAGACAGGGGAGAATTAGGTGAAGATTAAAAAAGGAGGAGGAGTGAGACCGGCAGCATGAGAGAAGATTGCAGGAAAATGACAGGAAGCTGTAAATCAGATTTCCCCCAATATCACTCTATTGCAAATGAATCGGTTGTAGAGCAGTTAGTCATGTCTGCTGCAGGGAATTTCTGTGGAGCTACTGTTGAAACAATTGATGATTTGATTAGAAGATCAACGTAAAGTAGATCAATTAAGATTAATCATCTTAAATTTGAACTTTTTGAAAAGTTAACCCGACAAAACAGGGAAACTAAAGAAATTTTGTTGCAATGGACATTTGTCAATATTTTCTTGACAATTTTCAATGTAGATAATCAAAATATATTGATACCATTTTACATTATTATTCCCTCAAAGTTTTACCTCGAGCAGGTAGAAGAGATTTCTCTCCGACAGTATCTAGAATAGGAGGTTCTTGGTTCTGTATGGAGTTTACATGTTCTCCCTGTGTCTGTGTGCATTTTGTCCAAGTACACCACAGTCCAAAGACATGTTGGTTGACTTGAGGTTGATTGGACACTCTTAGACAGTAGATTTGAATGTGAGTTGTGAATGGTTGTCTCTATTCACTGGCCCAACATCAGCCAGTATTGGTTCCAGCTCCCCTCGAGACCTTCAAAGTATGAGCAGTGAAAAGATAATAAATAGATGGGTTGCAAGGTATCATGTTTATTCATAATAGGTAGATATTAATCTCCAATCACATGTGTACATTTGTCTTTGTCTTCTGCAGGAGAGGTTTGAGGCGTTGTTTAGGATCTACGACGAACAGACAACCTTCCAGATGTTCAAAAGCTTCCGGAGAGTCCGGATCAACTTCGGCACCCCAGAGGCCGCTGCCCGCGCTCGCATTGAGCTGCACGAATCAGAGTTCAACGGCAAGAAGCTGAAACTCTACTTTGCCCAAGTGAGTGTGAGCTAAGAGGTCTGGGAAAGGGCAGGCAGGGGGCCTGAGACACGGACCATAAGAGCACTGCTTATTTACATAGACAGTTAAGGCCTTGTGCATCATTCTGTCCAACGTGCACACACAGAACAAGGACAAAAACTCCAAGGAAGAGAGTGACACTCCTTCTCTATTTTTTGGATCCCACACCTGACGACTTCCTTTGGTTAAAATGCCAATATAACCTGGTTCCATATAGCCAGTGATTCGACAGCAGTTAAATGGGTACAGTTCAATGTGTAGCAAAAAAAAATGTCATTGTCACATTGTGTCACTGAAAATCACTTAAAAAGTTATTAACCATTATGTGCTCTAACCCAATTGAACCTGTTTTTTGCCCAGGCAGTAAATGTCAAATTGCCACGAGTCATCTTATAATTGATTCCACCTCTGTACTTTTTATATAAGAGGATTAAAGATTTTACAGCTCAGGAAGATAATTATGGCAATTGGCAGCTATCAAAAGTCAAAATCTCCTCACAGGAAGGAAGGAGCGTACCATTTCAGACTAAAAGACTCATTCCAGGACTACAAAGCCTAATGTGCTTTTCTTGCTCCAAAGTATCAGGCTTACATTTATAAAAAATATCCTCATCCAATCAGAGCCAATTTGCTAGTTTTTTAAAAGGTAAGAACTGTTATCTTCTTATACAGAGATCCAGGATATTGTCCCTTTGTACAGGCTTGAATTTATCTTGCAGCAATTTCCACTATCCATTATACTGAATGAGTGAAACTGATGCTCAGAGGAAAGATCAAATACATGCAATGTTCTTCCAGTTGAATATATGGCTATATTCACTTGATCACCAATTTACATCAATTGTCAACTTCTCTCCAATAGGTCCAGAATGGCGATGAGGACATTGACAAGTCGTACCTGGCCCCTCCCCAGCCTGTCAAACAGTTTCTGATCTCACCGCCTGCCTCGCCACCCGTGGGCTGGAGTCAGAGCGAGGACGCGACACCCGTCATCAACTACGACCTGCTGTGTGCAGTAGCCAAGCTTGGACCTGGTCAGTAATTTAAGCTCAATAAGCTTGTGCAGTATGTTCACACATTTAAAACACTGCCTTGTGCACCAGCAGGTACAACACTGAGGTAATTTGAGTGATTCATCTCAGAGCAGCAACCCAGATACAAACAGGAAATTATTTCTCACTCCTCAGCAGGGTGTTAAAGAAATATGATGTTCGTAGGAAGCAATTAGGACAAAGGAATCAGCCAGAACCTTGTCAAATTGTCGCTGATTCATTGTTGACTTTTTTCAGCTTGTGAATCAGCCTTACATCTAATTTACCTCACCACAAAAGTATTTTTCTGCTATCAGACGCCTTTATCATTTCATTATAGGCAATTTTGAAATCAATTTCTTTAAGTGAAATGGGCTTTGATCATAGAATTCCCTTCTCCAGTGTTACTGTGCATGAGATCCTGGTCAGACAAAAAGCAGCTTGAAGCCCATAAATCATATCCACTGTGCTTGCCACCATACGTCAGTGTCCAGGGTGCTTAACCCAGACTTACTGCAGTCTGACATCTCAAAGGAAATACGCATCAAAGCCACTATGTGTGGTGCTGCAAAATATAATTCACCATTCATTAAGTCCCTCTGTCTAACAGCGATTGATTAATAATCAGAACAATAGGTAATTGTTTTCTCCACATGCGAAAAATGGTTTGTATGCTGGTGTTTAAAGAGTTTTTTTATCCAAACCACATGAGCCAAAGTAAGGAATTGGTTGAACTGTGTGTTTTTGTTTTCTCCAACTTAAGACACAATCTTTCTTTCTTTTGGGATGGTTTACACTCAGATAACATTGTTTATTCAAACTCAAAACAATTCGTAGTAGTTTCTTTTATGTCATCTTCATGGACATTTTTTTGTGGAACTGTTAGCGTAAGACTGATGTTTAGTATAATATTATGTACAGCATGTAGCAATTGCATGTATATCTCAGGCCCTTTGTTATATAAGATTCTATTCTTAAGATGCATGAGTCTGCTACATACAGCTACAACTTATGAACTCATCAAGCAACAGATGTTTTGTTTTTATCTGGAAAACAATTGGATCCAGGCAAGAAATTAAAACCATTTTTTTTTGTTGACCCATGTATGAAATCAAGGACATATTGTTTCTGAGATAACTGCGAGGTTCACTGACTAAATGTACTAATATAATGAGTAAACAGTGTGCGAGGGGACTGCCATCTCTATGAAGAAGGCAACGAAGAAGCACGACAGCACAAATAAATGATTGCAGATCAGTTTCTCTGCACCACAGATGGATCATTTTGCAGTTCATGCCCCATTACAATTTTAGCAAGTGTTTTTAATGTGTAGGCAGCTCGGCCCAACGCTGTTAGATTTGGAAAATTTCAACATCTTCCCCTACTGCCTTGTTCTCCGGCTCCAGCTTTTCTGCTCAGTAATGGCGCCTCTGTCTGCCTTTGTCGACAAGATTTTAGATTGCAGCAACCTTTATGAAATGTCACCCAGCACACACAGACGGGTGTGTCCACAATGTCTTCCCGTGTTTGTGTATGTGGACACGCTGATGCTGATGGAATGGAAAGTAATGTTAAGTCTGTATTCACTTAAACACTATCATCAAAAACACGATTTAACTTTCTGCATACACACACACACACACACACACACACACACACACACACACACAGTCGAGCCCAGTGGACCAGGCTCGTCAGGTTCTGTTGTTACCATAGCAACACAAGGCATCAGGAAATGGCTTTGTTGTTCGGCTCAAATCCTGGCATCTGAAATCAGATCAGCTCTGGGCTGCAGCACAGTGCGCTGACTCCCTCTATCAACTCTCTGTGGTAACAGCAGGACTCTATTCACCGTTCGTCTCTGTGTTTGGCAGCGCTGTGAAAAAGCCACTCGACCAATTTCCTGCTGTCTGCCAGCTGTCTGATCTCATCCCCATGGCAACTGAGATACAATCTCTCAAGTGTATGTTTTCGGTCCAAGTCCGCTGAGTTTGGCATCTGGACAAATGGCAGCACTATACTGAGGAAGAGCCTTTTTAGTTTTCTCTTGAATTCATGTCTTTCCACCTGAGAGTTAAAGCATGACTGAGCAGACAGAGAAAATACAGCAGATTATTTTGACCTGTAAAAATTATCTGAATGAAATTCTCTGTAGTAAACACTAAATTGCATATTCATATTTTTTCAAATACAGCAGCTCCAGCCTGTCGTACCGTTTGAATATACCATGTTTTTTTAACACAATAACAGTATTTTTACCTCAGCCAAGTAGGTCATCTGTTTGTTTGTTTGTTAGTTAGTCTCTCTGTTAGTTAGTAAGATTATGCAAACACTACTCGTGGGATTACCATGAATTTGGTGAGATGCATTATGGGTCAGGAAAAAGACATTAATATTACATTTTGGTGCAGATCTGCGTCAGGAATTCTTTTACTTTAACATTGTGAGCCATTTTCCACATTTTTGTGGATTTCTTAATATTTCATGGATCTCGATGGAAAGTTTTCTCCTGTTTAGGGGATAACAGTCCCCTGATATTCAGGAGTGTGTGAAATTTGGTGCAAACCAAATTAAATTTTGGATCAGTGAATTTATATGCGGTGTTATAAGGAGACTGCTGGGCCTTGGGGGGAAGTACAAAAACATAACCAAGATATGCACACTACTGAGTGCCATTCTAGTTATTGTTTATACCCATGTGTTAATTTAGAAATATTTCCTTTGTAACTCTCGCTCTTCCTTTCCCTCTTTCCATCCCTGACCTCCCCTCCTACAGGTGAGAAGTATGAGCTCCACGCGGGGACAGAGTCCACCCCCAGCGTGGTCGTCCACGTTTGCGAGAGCGAGACGGAGGAGGACGAGGCGGCGCGGCCAAAGCAGCAGATCGTCCAGACCAGACGTCCCGACGAGCCCCCCAAAGTCTTCAACTAGAGAGGCCTCCCTGACCGCCCCTTGAAACCCGCGACACACCTGCCCTCTCTCTCTTGTCTCTGCACTCACGGAGAGCGTCGATGCCCCTCATTTCAGTTCAACTACAAGCAAAAACAAAACCAACAAACATTGCTCAACAACGGTGTTTGTGGGGAGCGTGGCGATGGAATGAGGCGGCCTGAAGGGGATGGATGAGAATCACACACACACTCATCACATTCTGCGGACAGCGTGGGGGGTGGCGGGCACGCTTGCCTCCACCCCACCAACCCTCCTCGTCTTCAACAAGAGGGGTCGAAATACCTGTCCCACTGTAGGCACCTGTCACTTATCACACACACTCAGCTCTCATTGATAGTCCTGCTCAGCAGCTTGCTGGTTAGTTAGCTTGCAAGCTGTACCTCTCCCTTAGTTTTTGTTTTTAAAATAAATTGTGTTTTATATATATATATATATCTGTGTGTTTAATATATATATAAAATGCATACACGTGTTTCTGTTATTTTTCTTTTTCATCCATTTTCACATCTGGTTTGTCTCTTCAGCTTACATCAAGATTGAGTGTGTGATGTTCCCACTCGTCTGCATGTATATACTATATTAGAAAAAAATACTTACAGAAACACAAGTACTACAAGATATATCGAGAAAAAGGAACCTATTTAACATCACACAGCACGAAGCGCCATATGTGACTAACAAAGTTGTGGTGGTTGTTTGACTTTTTTCTTTTGTCGCTCGTTTTCGCTTTTTGTCTTTTTTTTAATTTGGAGAGGTGTTGTTTTTTGCTAAACTACTAGATGTGTATTCTTACTATGTATTTTATACCCCAACACTTTTTGCATGCTTAGTTATTTCCGTAGATGAGGAGCTGAGGTGTTTTTTATTTTAATTGTTGTTTGTGATGACAGGGAAATAAATGGTGTGACGCTTCTGACGCAAGTGCATATCCCCACGCAGAGTTTAAAAGTGACGTCTTTGGGGGAAAAAGCTTAATGGTTTTTTTTGTATGATTGACGGTTCAGTCTTTGGCTTGAAGGCAAATTTGCATTTGTCGCTTTTTGGGGATTTGATGGATCAGAGACAGTTAATCCCCCCCCCTCATTTCCTTCAAGGGTTTTAGGGAGGTTGTTTTATTTTTCTCTCTGATTCCGTTTGTATTTCATATCTTTAATGTTTTGGTTATGTCGTTTGATCAAACCCACTTTCTATGTGTCAGGTTTTTCATCTAAAACCTACTGCTTCTTTTGCACTGAGTATCTCTTGATATCTCCAAGCAATTGCAGGGCTGTCAAGCGTCTACTGCTGCGCGCCTGATTACTACTGCGCTGCTTTTCTCTGTAAATAGCTGGGTGTAGTGTAGATTTGTGGAAATAGTCCTTTTAGATTTTGTAGTTTACCTGGAAGCATTTTGCTGAGAAAAGGGAATATTAGGGTAGCCTCATGAGATATCAACCAAAGCATCTGCTCACCTCACATAGTGATGTATATTTGTTAATCTGAGAGAAATCATATTTTCCCAACACAACTGCAATTACTTTATTGCATCTTTATTTTATACCGAAAAATCATTTTTTTTCCACTTTTTATGTTGTTTGGGGCAAACTCGAACTAGTTCTCCTCAAAAACCATTACTTTCTTACTTCTTTTTCTTCTTTATTGTGCAATTCTCCCGACAGTCCTTTATCAGATTAGCGTGCTTAACTACTCATTTAATGAAATCGTTCTGTGCTTTAGAAGCAACAGGAACAAATGTTTCTAACAGGGATTTTTGGGTGTCAGCAGTGAGTCTAAACCTTGTTTGTCATGACGCAACATGAAATCTAACTTCTTTGCTGTTTTATTTTGCAAAAGTCCATCTGCATGTGAGCACTTTATTGTCAGTGTTTTGTTTCCTTGACATAAATTGTCTTTCTTGAGACAAAGTAGGAAGCACATTGAATTTCTTCTGTTTCTTTCGTGTTTTTTCTTTTTATCTCAAGCTGAACACCTGGTTAGCCTTTTCACCAGCATATTGCAGTGAGTGAAAACACTTCCTTTTTGCTAGCGTGAACCTTGGAGAATTTCAGGCCTTTTTGGATATATATATGAAAGTGTGCTACTGGAAAACGTGCAGAGACGCAGCACAGTAGGAGGTTGAAAATGAGGCAGGATGACACTGCAGAACAAAATCAATGTCTTTGTTTTTGTGTTTGTCCGCAAGAAAACATAATCTTATCTTCTGAGAGAGTTAAACAGTTGTTTGAAATTCATCGTGTTGGCAGAGTGCAGTTTTATTGGCACTACAGTAAAGCTGTCGTGGTTATTGAAGCAGACGGCAGATTGGTGGAGCTGCTGAGGTGGATTATGATAAAGTGGAAGCAGTGGAACACTTGTGGAGGTTTTTTTACTCTGGTCATGGTGTTTGAAACTGGGTGCATTTTGGTCACAGATGAAATGAAAATGTATATTTATGTACATATGCCAAGTTTTTTTTTGTTGCTGAGGCCAGTCCCAGTGTGCAGTTTGTTACGGCTTCTCTTTGCAATGTTGTAACGGGAAAAAAATATTACAAATAAGTGTAACAGTAAGTCCTGCTCGATCAAAACCAACTGTCATTGTGTTGTGTTCAACAGTTCGACATGGACTCTGTTTAAAGGTTTCTGTTACTTTTGGGGAACGTCTACTAAAAAGGTCAATAATACACTTTGTCACTGTTGTACTGTTTCTGTTGAAATATGAATATTGTATCTTGTATTGTAGGATTCCAGAAAACAAAGTAGCAAAACAAGCAATAATTTACAGTTCTATAATACCGGTATCTGTATTTTCATGGTCTGTACTTACTTCTCAGAGATGGTCTCTGTCTCTTACAGTATCTGCTTCTATTTGTGTAGTATAATAGTCCTTTGTTTCACATACAATATACATAAAGACTTATTCTTAAAAGCCATGTTTTGTGTTGTTTATTTTAGGCCTTTCGAGAACAAACACACAGGAGGGAACAAAATCTCAAACAAAAATGTCAAATTGGCTTTAAATTTAGATTCATTAGCCTACAAGTTATGTTGTGATTGCGTAACAAAATCCATATTTACCAAGAAATTGATCTTTTTTTCATATCAGAGGTTCTTTAAAACACTCAAAGCTCTTTTGAACCATTTCCAGAATCCTTTTGTCTTCTGAAGTTATACAATTATAAACTTGTTGCTATAGGCTTTAACATCCAGTTGTATCTAAATCTGTTGTGAATGAATGTATGTTATTTTCCACTATTTAATATTTTCATTAAACCTTTTATACTTAGAATGTTGTATTATAAAAGCAGAAATAACTTCCAGCTGCCATCTTTGTTTGCGCTAGCTAGCTTGGCTCAACTTAAATGTTAGCGTGCTTGAGTAAAGCTTTACATCAGCCCAGTCATAAAACTAGCATGTGCTAAAGCAGGTGACCATCACAGACATTTCCAACCATTTACCTCTCATTCCTCCTTAAAAAGTGTTTTATCCGTTTCAATGTGTTGCTGACAAAGCGATACAAACTATTCACCACTGCAATGACATTGAATTGAATATAATGCTAAGTAGAGGAGTGGCACTTGAAGTTGGCTCCTCATATTAGCCCCAAGGACTTCAAGTTATTTTGTCCGGTCTTGTTTCAGTGGTAAAGCCAAATGACAGCAAGGTTAAGTTAATAGCCTCTATTAACCAGGGATGCTGCTATGTTGCACTTGTTTACACTGAACCGATGAGATTTATTTAAAATGAGGTGTCTGTGAGTTAACACGAAACTGACCTGCATTTCAGCCGCCTTTTGAGTTTCAGTGCTTCAGTTTCCACGTGTCAGTCATACAGAACCGACAACTGCTCAAGATTCCTGTAACAATAGATTTGTCTCATCAATTTCCCTCTGACAAGCTGCATTTCATTATCGCGTGAGGAAAGAAATACAAAGACAAAACAGTGGCTCAGATTGCACAAAAAGATGTTTTGCAAGCACAGGTTCGCCCACAAAGGAAAAGGTATCTGTCTACATGCTGAAAAATAAAAACACATAACCTTGGTTTCAACTTTCAGCTTCTAATTTTTGTAAGGTGATGATGTTGTGTGTTCAACATGATCCATGATCATAAATATTAGCTGTGTCACTGTTCACTTACTTAATGGTCTACAGAGGTAAGAACAATGGACCACTGTCAGTGTATTTCAGGTAGAGAGGACTGATTAATGGCTGTGAGATGACGCCTGCTCCGTATCACCCTGTGCCTTCTATTCCATGACACAAAAAGCTCTCTCTTCCTGGAGAGCATATGGGGGAATTCCTCCTCACAATGCCCCTCACTGTTGAACGTGACGATACGTGTGCACCTCAGGGTAGCAGATCACGTTCTCGTGGTCCTCGAGGGTGTTAATGAGGCCAGTGCCAGATTCCTTTCTCTCCAGGATTACACAGCACCAACGTCTCGCAGGAATTTAAAGGGACACATTATTCTCGAGCTAACAATACAGTTCCTTAGTAAAGTGGATCGTTAAAAGCATACACGTATAGTTGAATCAACATATGCTGTACTTAGATAAAGCTTCACACAGCTGATCTCAGAATCATTTAACCCAACAGGTAAGAAATATAAATTGTACATATGATTTGTGTAGACTCAAACCTTACACCTCATTAATTCAAAATATTACAATATGTGATTACTTTTAGACTATTGCTCCGTTACTTTTACAATTAAATGTAACATGATTGTTGGTAAAACAGATGTTTGCAGAGTAAACTCTGTCTTATTTTCAGATAAGACATGCAAACAGAAATGCTGATACTTTTCCATCTTTACTAAGGGGAACCTCTCACCCCTCACAGTGTAACCCAGAGTTAAATTAACCAAGCTTGCCAAAGAAAATAAATCTAGAAAATGACAATGAAATAATCTAAAGCCAGATAGGATGAACAAAACCAAATACTACTACTACTACTAATAATAATGATTATAATAATTTGGCTCCGCTACAGCCCCTATGACCCTCAAAGGATAAGTGGTATAGACCATGTAGGGATGGATAGATTTTATTCATATATCACTACGCTCAAAGACATTTAATATAAGTTAAAACCAATAACAACACATTAACCTCACATAACAAGAAAGGGAAATAAATGACTACAAATATACAGTACAAATCATTAATCACACATTAATAGCAGTTCTGAACAAGTGTTTTATGAGTAATGTTTTGAAGGTAACACAGACTCATTAATACAAAATGAAATCTTTAGGGAAAAATATTTATTTATTCATCAAATAAACTAGAAGGGTGCTCAGAGAGTTCATAGCTTCGTCAAGGACTACCGGTTTTCTTATGAAACCACATTTAAACTCACAGGATCTGGGGTTTTATTTGGATCTGAACCAACAAACACAAATATCTTGTGACTATCTTGCAAAGTCAAGAAAATTAAATTTTAATGGGTTCTTCCCCGACCCGTACCTCATCCCTCCACCAAGTTTAGTGGTAATTTATTCAGTAGTTTTTGGGTAATCATATTAAAAATCCCAGACAAACTCAGACGCAAACATAAATTCTTTGGTGAATTTAAAAAGTAATAGGGTAAACCACCTGTTGTTTAATCCTCACTGGGAATTTTAGCACACGGGTTGTTCACTGTTCACAAACGAACACAATGCCAGGAGGGCATTATGAAACATGTATTCTTCTTTATGAAACCTGAATCTCAGCATTCAGACTGAAGCAATGGTCTGCCACCACAGGGACAAGGACCCACAGGGACAAGCATGGGGACACCAGTTCCTTTGCAAGTGCGAAGCCTGTAAACAGCGCTCTCAGCTCATTGGGCAAAGCTGAGCAATGTGTGTCTCTAAACACATGAAGTTTGGTTACACTTTCTCACAAAGCCACAACACTGACTTGCTTTGTGGTCGTGGGCACCACCCAGCCCCGGGAGGTAACATGAGGCCCGATCCTGACGACTTGTTCGCACTGTGTGGGGAAAGACTTCCAGGGCAAGTGTGACAGAGGAGCCTGGCTGCTGCAGAAGAAGAAAGGCACGGATAGAAGCACAGTTGGAAAGATGAGCAAAATATTTCCAGCGAGAACGTTTGTGTTTGTTCAGGGGGAAAACTTTCACACAAATGTTGCCAAGTGTTTGACTGGAGCTTTTACTTCCAACTGTATCTTTTCTATAAACACACCCAGCGCCCTTTGAACGAGTGCACTGTAATGTACAGTTAATCATCAACCACAAGGATAAAACACATTTTTGCAAACATGATGGGATTTGTGATAACATTGAAACCACATACTTTATATACACAACAAAACAAAACATGCACACACATTATTCATCTCCATCAATCAGAGGTAATGACTGGATAGTTTTTCATTTGACACACACACCCAGAAGTGTAGCATATCTACTGGATTTTATTATTTTTTGGAGTTGGATCAATCTTTTTTGACAGAGTGACACACCCTGTGATTCCATGTGAGACATCCTATCAGATGCAGACGAACGGATTTTGAGAGGCAGTAGTCATGGTGAGAGGCCGAGCGGTGCAAGCAGCTCTTTTGATCGGCGGCCGTGTGGCACGCCTAAGGGCCTGGCGGAAGGACCTGAAAAACCAGCTGCCTGAGATCATTACTCTCAGTGAGAAACAGCGAGTGAACGAACGTGGAGCCTCCTCCTCTTCCTCCTCAACCTCCTCCTACTCCTCTTCACATAAACACTCTGATTCCCACAGAAACCACACACACATACACAGATACAGAGGATTCCCTGCTTGTTTTTGTCCTTTGGTTTCATCTGTTTTTTTACCTGTGGGACTTCAGCAGCACCTGGGACTTTACATTCCTCCCCTGGAGCAGCTCACACACTGTCAGCCCCCCCACCAGTGGACTATGCCCCCTTCATTCAGCTGAGGGAGGGGGGCGCCGCGCCGCTCAGGGTCCCATCTGGAGAAGGCTTGAGCTGAAATCAGAGAGGAGACGGTTCGGTAAGTCACAAGGTTCATCACTGCTTATGTGAGTTTCCCTCTAAACTTGAGTCACTTTTCAGAGTTGCCTTTGAGTGTGTGGGACTGCACTGTGGTTGTATCAGGGTGTGTGTGTGTGCGTGTGTGAGAACGTTTGCTCCTCCAGACAACATGGCGAGACAACAGGTGAGTCGCAGGTGAAAGGGAATAGTTTACATTCCAAACAGCCCCCGGATTAATAAATCTCTTCCTACCACTGAACCATGTGGACCGACAGAGATTTAGTGAATTCTAGATCCCAGCAGTATCTCTGTGTGTGTGTGTGTGTGTGTGTGTGTGTGTGTGTGTGTGTGTGTGTGTG